TCTATCTATCTATCTATCTATCTATCTATCTATCTATCTATCTATCTCCCTACCTACCTAGAGAACATGGCCTTGTGGGATGGTGACGAGAGTGGATGGAGCATAGGTGAGAACTGTGCCCTTAAGGATGAGGGCTGAAGGGTCCAAAGTTGAGGTCAAGACTTGGGATTTTTCCAACACTTTCACAAAGTTCAGTAATAACTCTAAATAGGGTATGAGAAATTAAGGATGTATTCTATAATCTTATCATGGCCACCAAAATCTGCAAAGATCTAGTAAAACCATCAATGGCTAAAGTGTAATTCTTACTGTGTGTGTGTGTGTGTGTGTGTTGGGGAGGGGCACATGATGTGTGCTGTGGGGGCTCATGTGGAAGCCAGAGGACAACTTTGTGTGGTGACTTCTCTTCTCCCACCTATTTGGGTTCCCAAACTGAGGTTGCCCATCTTGTATGGGCTGAGCCATGTCATTGGTACAGATAAGATGTAATTCTAAAAATTTTAATCATTTTGAGAAAAAAACAGAAGAAAAAAGAAAGGAAGAAAGAAATGGAGGAAGAAAGAGAAACAATGTATTACTAATGCGGAGTCCTTAAATCCACTGCAGCAGGAGATGTTAACCTTGGTGCCTTTCCCAAGTCACTCCTAGGATTCTGTCAGCAAATGTGTGAAAGAAATGCAATTTTGCTGAAGAAGGTACTGGGAGTTGGGGAGATTAAAGGCCCGAGGTGCCCCGAGGTGCTGGTCTTAACATAGCTGAAAGCTGAGGTCTCATGTTGATGACATTTCCTTTGACCGTGTCCAGCACCTGAGGTGCTTACACAGGACTGTGGTGTCATGGTCCTCCAGTCACACAACGGCCATGATGTGTTCAAGAGGCTTGAGAAACAACAGGGACAAAAACCCAGGTGAAAGCACCCACCCCGAGGATTGCCATGGGCAGGCGTGGCTGCAGCCGCGTGTGTAAAGTTAACATCGATGCTCATGTTTTCTGCCCTAAGTGGAATGTTAGACACATGGAGTAGGAAATGAGGGTTGTCAGGGTTCAAAACAATACCGGCTTATTCCAGCG